GGGCCAATACAGAACCTCCCTCTCTGCAGGCGAGGCAGATCCCCCCCCGCCAGCACCCTGCCCAGGCCTGAGCCTCCTCCAGTGCACCCCACCTTGGTGCTGCTCTGCGCCCCTTCGGCCGCTGGCCTCCTGGCCAGCCACTTCCCCGAGGCCATGGCCCTTGCCCAGGATCGCCCATCAGATGGAGGCCTGTGTGCGCCTGCAGACCCCATGGCCGCGGCTCCTGGCAGCCACTTTGCCAAAGGTTCCTCTACCTTCAGGCTCTCTCCTCAGACCCCCGGGAGCTTGGATCCCACCCAGCCCTTCCGTGGCTCCCTGCAGCCCCACTCTACTCAGCTCTCCTGCCGCCCACCTGTCAGGATTTAGGCGGCTGTTTGAGCTGCCAAGCCCCCCGCCACTTAGGGCCACACACTTTGGTCCCGGCTGGCGTTGGGGCTTAGGTGCCACACAGGCCAGAGGGCAGCTCCTGCTGGCCCTCCCTGCCTGCAGTATGCAAATTAGCCGCCATCTTGGTTGACCATTAATTTGCATATCTTCCTGATTAGCCAATGGGAAGGGTAGCGGTCATACGCCAATTACCATGTTTCTCTTTTATTAGTGTAGATTTCTCTTGATTTCAGAGAGGAAGGGGGAGGGCGAGAGAGATAGAAACATCAATGATATGAGAGAAACATTGATCAGCCACCTCCTGCATGACCCCTACTGGGGATCAAGCCTGCAATCTAGGCATGTGCCCTTGTCCGGAATCAAGCCCGGGACCCTTCAGTTTGCAGTCCAATGCTCTATCCAGTGAACCAAACCAGCTAGGACTAGGCAAGTGTTTTAAAAGTGAGAGTCAAAGGGATGAATTGCTAGGAAATGAGATCATAAACTTACATCATTCATTTTTGGATTGGTGGGGGCAACTGGGCTTTCAAGAGTCTTCTGACTCAGTGGTCAGCAAGTGAGGTTATAGCATGAGGACAATGGGTAGTTTCAGTTTACATGGTCAGCAGATAGAGTTGGGAAATGTGTAATGTTTTTTAATATCTATTGTGGGAGGTACAGTTTCTAGTTACTGAAACATTTTAGAGAGATTTGCCTAAGGGCCTATTAGGTTGTTATTATCCAAGACAAGAAACCCTTGAGGTTTCTAATATCATAATTTTGTGATCTAATATCTAAACCCTACTGCAATTTGGTCTCTGACCCTGCTGGAGTGACTAGATCATTTTGCAGTTTAAACTCTGAATCTGTCTACCTAAAGAACTGCATTCCCTGCATTTTTCAGTTAACCACATAACTTGTCTTACCAGACTTCATGGGAAACTGAGGCACTAGTCTCTGGCATTCATAATCCTCTTCCCCTGCTGACTATGTCTTATGACTCCAACTGTTGGCCATATCCCTTGACTCCATCTGCTGACCATGAGTGAACTGAAACTATTCACTGTCCTCATCTTGTAACCTCGCTTGCTGACCACTGAGTGAGATGACCCTTAAAAGCCCAGTTACCTCCACCAATCCAAAAATGAATGAAAAGTTTATGGTCTGTTATAATAATGTTATGGTCATAAGGAAACCCCTCTTATGTGTGGAAATAATTATTGTGTGAAATAATTAATGTGTGAAATGTTTGCTGTGTGAAGACCCCCAATACTCTGTAACTTCCAAAATGTGGTGAACGCCCCCACTATCTTGATGTGAATGCCCTAAGCCTTAAAGTGTAAACACCCTGCTCCTAGCAAAAGGCACACCGTCTTGCCTACACTGATAAGACACAAGTTGTTTACCGCCGACTATATAAGCATTAGATTTTTCTTCAGTGAACGTCTCCTGCCTGAAAAGAGGAGGACTCCACGTCACTCCTTGAGACAAGCCCCTGACTGACTGCTCTGCTGTGTGAGCCTGAACCAACTGTGGCCACCTGTCTGTCTCCATCTTCGTTGTCCGTCTTTTGGTGTGTATCGCCGGGTGGCCTTTGCTGGAGCCTAGGACCCACTAGGAATAGGTAAATAAACCTTGTGTGATTGCATGCTAATTCTGTCTTGTGTGTTCATGCGTTCCGGTTCGGCTCAGCTGTCTAGATGTTGAAGTATCAGGGGATAGGCCGTTATAATTGACCCCTGGTCACCTGCATATGTCCCACTAAATCTAGACAGATAATTAATTAATTGGGGCATAGTTGGGACAGTCCTATTTCCCTAGCAACTTATCCCTTTGACTCTCACTTTGAAAACACTTGCCTTATTCTTCCCATCTTAAAGCATGTCCTTGGTTCATGCCAAAGGCTATGTTCTCTGATTTGCAAATCAGACCAGAATAAAATTACCTTTAATTCCTCAAAAGAGTCCTGTAGAATGTTCATTTATACCCTACATTTCCATTTTTTTTTCTGTTTTAAATGACCACTTTCTAAGCTGTAATCTGCATTTATGATTTCCTATAGATTTTCATAGAATCAGTGAACAGTTTAATTCTAGATAAAGCCTCATAATCTTAACTGTACAAATGGTCAGAAACCCTTCCATTTAATTAATATGGGGTCAAATTTCCAGACCCTTCTGAAATTTCCATTGGAATTATATTTTATTGCAGCTTCCATATACTGTGTGCTTCCCTTTCAAGCGACACTTAAAATATTTGCCTAAAGTAAGTGATTTCACCTTCATGTTTTTTCTTTCTTCTTCAACCCTTTCCATTTGGATTCTGTTCTCGCCATGTGACTGACTGGTTTCTCTTTGATAGCAGTAATGTCCATACTGCCCACACCAGTGGTGACTGAGAGTTCTCAGCTCACTAGACCTCTCAACAGCACTTGGAAGCTGTCCCACTCTCTTCTTAAGACACTTTTCCCCCCTTGATTCATGGACACTACTTTGTTACTTTTCCTCTTAACTCGCTTTTAACTGCTTGTCAGTGTTACCTACTTCACTGTTAAGCCTTAAAATTTGACATGCTGCAGGAACTGGGTCAGGATTCTGATGTTAACTATTCATGCCTTCTCTTCAGGGAATCTTACAGAGTACTTTGGTTTTAAACATCTATGTAGCAAGGATGCCCAGATTTATATATCAATTCCAGATTTATATATTCAACTGTTCACCTAACATCTCCATTTGAGTGTCTGATAGGTAATCTCAAATTGTAAGAACTTCTCCTCCCCCGGTTTCCTGCATCTCAGTAGCTCACTGTCTACAAGTTGTTCATGCTGCCGTCTGGGTGGCTTCCATGTCCCTCTATTTCTCCCATCCTCAATGTTGATTTCTCTTCTAAAGCTGTCTTGAATCCAGTCACTTCACTTCCTCTGCACAACTATCACCTTAGACCAACTACCATCATTTTCTGCCTAAGTGACTTCATTATGTCACTTTAATTGCTTAAAACCTTCTGTATTAATTTGTTAGGGCCATCATACGAAAGTACCACAGACTGGGTGACTTAAACAGCAGAAATTAGTCTTAAAATTCTGGAGGTTAGAAGTCTGAGTTCAAGTTGTCAGCAGGCCTCTAACTTTAGCTTATAGGTGATTGTCTTCTTTCTATGTCTTCACATGGTCTTTCCTCTTTGTGTCTGTGTCTAATTTCCTCTTCCCCAAAGGACATTAATTTTATTGGATTAGGGTCAACATTAATGACTAATTTTATCTTTTTAAAGACCCTGTGTCCAAATATAGACACATTTCATTTATTTACCTATTATTTTACTACTAGAAGCCCGGTGCATGAAATTTATGCAGCAGGGTGAGGGGTCCCTCAGCTTGGCCTGCACCCTCTACAATTCCAGACCCGCTCAGGGGATGTCCGACTCATTCGGACATCCCTCTCGCAATCTGGGACTGCTGGCTCCTAACTGCTGACTGCCTGCCTGCCTGATCGCCCCTAACTACTCTACCTGCCTGTCTGATTACCCCTAACCACCTCTGCTTGCCTGATCGCCCCCTAACTGGTCCCCTGCCAGCCTGGTTGCCCACAACTGCCCCCTTCTGCGGGCCTGGTCGCCCCTCACAACCCCCCTGCCAACCTGGTCATCCCACACAGCCTGCTGTTCAGTCGTTTGGTCATCCCTAATTAACCCCCCTGCCGGCCTGATCGCCCCACGTAGCCTGCTGTTCAGTTGTTAGGTTGGCCCTCACTAACCCCTCTGCTGGCCTGGTCATAGACAGCCATCTTGTGAGGGTGCGAGGGTAATTTGCATATTACCTCTTTAATATATAGGATAGGTACAAAATTATAAAACACATCCCTAGAACTTACTTTATCTTACTTAAGGGAAACTTTATACTTGTTAATAAATAATCCCCCATTTCCCTCTCTCTCATCACCCTGGCAACCAATATTCTGGTCTTTGATTTTATAGATTTGATTGTTTCTGATACCTCAAATAAGTGGAATAATGCAGTGCTTGTCTTTCTGTGACTGGCTCATTTCACTTAGCATAATGTCCTCAAAATTTATTGATGTTGTCACATATTGTACAATTTCCATTTTTAAGGCTGAGTGGTATTTCATTTTGTATTTATACCACATTTTCTTTATTTATTCATCTGCTGATCAAAATTTAGGTTGTTTCCACATCCTAGCCATTGTAAATAGTGCTTCAATGAACTTGGGAATGTAGATATCTTAATAAGAACTTAATTTCAATTGTTTTAGGTATACTTATATACAGAAGTGGGATTGCTGGATCATATGGTAGTTTTATTTTTAATTTTTTGAGGAGCTGTAATATTGTTCTCCATAGTGGCTGCACATTTGCATGCCTACTGACAATGTACAAGAGTTCTAATTTCTACATATCCTCACCAACATTTTTTTCTTAATAATAGCTATCCTGACATATATAAGGTGATATCTCATTGTGGTTTTGATTTGCATTTCCCTCATGATTAGTGACAATAAGCAATTTTTTTCATATATCTGTTGGCCATTTGCATGTCTTATAAGAAAAATGTTTATTAAAATCCTTAGCCCATTTTTAAAATTGGGTTATTAGTTTTTTGTTGAGTTGTATGAACTCCTTATATGTTTTGAATATTAATTCCTTATCAGCTATATGGTTTACAAACTTTTTCTCTCCTTCTGTACAATATTTTTTTACTTTGTTGATTGTTTTCTTTGCTGGGCAGGAGGTTTTCAGTTTGTTGTAATTCCACCTGTTGTTTGTTTGTTTGTTTTTGTTGCCTGTGCCTTGGGGGTAACAAACTGCTAGACTATGGTTGGCTAACCTGTCTGAGCTCCAAGCCTGGCAGGGCAGAGGTCAGTCTTCTGGGGAGCCCCTCAGAGAAGTTGGTGTGCTCTGTACATGGCTCTCCTCTTTCCTCAGGAAAGCTGAGGGCTGGACTTCTTTTAGAAGTGGGGCTATGTGTCTGTGGGCCCAAGTTGCTGTCTCCATTTTCTCTTAGGCTGCTAGACTGTGGTGACTCATCCAAGTTCCCAAACTGGCAAGACTGAGGTTAATTCTCTGGGGAGGCTCCTCAGAGCAGTTGGAGCACTGGATAGGCAAGCTAAACCCTTCCCTCTCCTGGGAGAGTTGGGTGCCAGGAGATCTCTTTCTAATGGCATGGCTTTGCATCAGAGGGAGGGACGCTAGGGAAGGGGTGTCCTGGATCTCCTTACTGGCTCATCAATCTGTTTTTGTGTTTAGGAACCTTTTTCATGTTTAGGAACCTTTCACTTAGTTTCTAGATTTCTCATAAAGGAAGTCTGCCCATGAATTGTTGCTTAATTGATGTGTTTGTGGGCCGCATGGCCTAGGGCCTCTTACTTCAATATCTTGCTGATAGCATATTAAAATGAATCAGGGGCAGGCACGATTCAGCTTATAACACCTGCCTATACTTCCAGTCACACTTAAATGCTCTTCATTCTCATTTCCCTGGCTTACAGCTCTCTCTACACAGGATAGGACCCGAGGAACTCCTCTGATCTCACCTCAAATCACGCTCCCCATAACGCTTTATAGTGCGTGCACACCAACCTTTTCCCTGCAACATGCCAAGTTCATGCTCACTGTAGGGCCTTTGGACTACCGGTTATTTTTGTCTGGAATTATTTTACCCTGGTTTTTGCCTTCTTATCATGCAGGACTTGTAATATTTATTTATTTATTCAGTGTATTAATTTTTAATAATAATAATAATGAATATCGCTTGAGAGCTTACTTTGCATGAGGCACTATGCTAAGCACTTATATGCCCTAGTTGATAGAAACAGCATGCAGAATGGTTGAAGACACATGGTTTGGAGTTAGACTGCCTGAGTTCATGTCCAGGCTTTGTCACATACTTTGGGACCTTGGGAAAGTTATTTAACTCTTCTGTTCCTCATTTTTGCCCCTATCAGCAACCATTTATTTTTATTCTAAAGCTCAAAATTACAGAAAGTATATAAATAATCCTCACGTAATTTTGTTTGGAGACCCATTCATGTTCATTAATTTGGCCAGTAGCATCTCTTATATAAAGGATCTGATTTAGGATCATGCCTTTCACCAAGTTGCTGTGTCTTTCTCTAGCTCTTTGAGTAAGGAATAATTCCCTAGTCTTTCCTTAACATTCATGACAGTAATGCTTTACATGTTTTAGGCTAGTTATTTTGTAGAATGCCCCGAATTTAGGTTTGTTAAGTGTTTCCCCATGATTTGACCCAGGTGCAGTACTCAATTTAAGTGTTACCCTGCCAGAGTTTCATTTAATGTGAAATAGTTCCCTCAGCTACTTTGTAGACAGTATCCTGCCTTTTTTCCCCCTTCTGGTTTCTTTTCCTGTATATTTGTTTGTGTGTTTGTTTGCTATCTCAATTTGGCGGACTATAAAGTCCGTGAAAGCAGCCTGGACTTTATTTTTATTTTGCAGTGCTATATTCTAGCACATATAGTGGTTATAATCTGCCAGTCACTGGCATAGGCAATCGCAATATAATGGTGAACACAAACGGGTGCTCTTTGTTGTTATTTTAAAAATGCATTAGGTGGTATATTCAGGTAACTTGCTATTTAGTCATTCATTCA